GTCAGGACTATAAAGAGGATGATTTATCAAACTGATGTTTTGAGTGCTCAAAAATGCAGTTGTTTCAGTCTATATGTGGAACTAGTATTGTCGTAGTGAAGAGTGATCCATTTTTGGCGGTTGAGTTTTCTGATTTCTTGAAAAAGAACAGGCAAACAAATGAATGTGTTGCTCCAGCGCTACAATTGCGACATAGCCAAGTTTTCCAAAAAACAGGCAACCATTTGATTGGAAAAGCTTCGTGCGCGACATCCACACCGTCGACTGCTGTTTACTTTCGGACTCATATGCGTAAATCCACGTGATGAATCGATGTCATAGACTTAAGACRACCTTCACGAAACTTRTCTTGGAATGMTCTACGACCTCGTTTGAATTCACCATATCATCAATCACTGGTCTTKATGGAGCTTCAGCGCCAAGAATTTATTTAAATTTATCGATGYACTATTGTTGAGATAATTCACGTTGAAAGTTGTAAAAAATAATCGAAAATATTCGAAATCACTTTTTGGTCGAAAGGMATATTTTAAATTACTGTAAGCAACACAAATTGGGCCCATAGGTCTAAACATTCTGAGTATGCAAACTACCGAAAATGTCACATTTTAAAATAAAGCTATGAGTTACCAGTTTGCTATAACTGTGTTGCCCAATTCCGAATTTTAAAGGCAACCTTCGTATTATCCTCCCCAGGCAACTTGTAGTTTTTCACGAGTTTTATCTCATATCGTATTACTTGCATGGATTACGGGATTGTTTATAGTTAAAATCTGCAAGCTCTTTTCYCAATGATTCTTTTCTTTTTCTGTCACGGTTTAGTCGACATACGCCTCCTTTCAATGTAGTATAATTCTTCAGCTGATCGTTTTTTTAAAGCCAGTTCTTTCTTACTTCATTTTTAAAATCATGTTTCTACATTTTCACCGAACCACATTGTGTTTTTATTTTTAGTTTCACTTCCAAGTATATGTGTTACCTGTCAATTAATTAAAAAATCTAATAAAGCAGATTTTATAAAACGACAAGTCATGCACAAACAATAATGCCATAATTCGTACTTCCGAATGCATCATACACGCATACTAATAGGAACCTTGAATCGTTCTCACTTCCCATCATACTAAAAAAAGTTTTCAAAAAATAATTAAAATAACGCACATGTYTTCTTATTGCAATCGAAATTTTTGGTAGTTCCTCTCTAATATTTTCGTCAATTCTAAATAAAAGTCAGCTGCATATGAACATTTATATAAAAAAACCACGCCTTGCTCATCTCGAAAATCAAGTTTTGCAGTTTTAAGTAAAATGTATTATACAATAGTTTGGGTTTAAATCTGACTCATACTTTATACCGATTTTATATAAGAATCTTGTTGCAAATACTAGTCTCTACTCGATATCTTCCTAACTTTGACGTCATATACAYCTCAACACTGTATCGCAGCTATGCATTTGCTAGGTTATTTTCTACAATAYATACATACATATATATATTTATACYCTTGSTGCATTTCTATTGACTATAACAGGTTAATTGAAAAGTTCCCGGCCTACTATAGTAAAACACATATTTTTGCCCAAATTTGTTTTTTTTATATTCAAAATAGTATATAGTACATTGTTTCTTCAAAGTGATACGCTGATTTTATAGCTTATATCTTTGTGCACTTATCGGTTGACAGTATCACCTAAAACTAATCGAGTTTAATATAATGTTCTACAAAGTGTCACCCATTATATGTTCCCTATGATTTTAAAGAAAAAACACAGAAACTTAATGGAAAATAGTTACTATCATTCGAAAGAGCATTTCGGCATTTATTTTGTATTTTATTTTTTGTATATCATTTATTTATTGTATCTTTCAAATTTTGTCCGCGGATACATCTCAGATGATTTTCGATGACTCGTTCGATGATTTCGACTGGTAACTGCCGAATAACAAGAATGATGTTTTTCTCCAAGTACTGAATTTAAGTGGAACTGTCCATATAGACTTTAGACTTTACTCCACAGGAAAAAATCTATCGGTATGAGATCAGACGATCTTGATTGCCAATTAACCGGCCCAATACGAAAAATGATTTGCTCACGGAATGGTTTTCTCAATGAGTTGATACGATGTGTAGGAAAGAGCACAATCCTGTAGAAGTCAAACGTCGCCATTGACGGTTACGCACTCACCGACATAATTTTTGAAAAAGTATGGAGCGATGAAACCACCGTCCAACCATTCACAACAAACCGTAGTTTTTCCTCTTTGAAATGACAGCTGTTGAATCTCTTCTGGGGGTTTTTCGTCACAAATGCACCAAATTTGCTTTTTTACATACCCATTGAGCCAGAAATGGTCCTCATCGTTAAACATAGCTCGAAAAGCATATATCGAAAACGTGATATATTTTCAGAACTTTTCAAGAGACCATAGGGCTTCAGTTCTTACACAAGATGTATTTTGTACACTTTCAATTTAAGATCTCGGCGTAMAATGCGCGAAGTCGTTCGATTCATCAGTCCCAGTGGCAACTCTTCACGGTCTCCGGGTACACTCTCAGCTACAGTTGCTATATTTTCTTCCATTAATGAACGCTATTTACAGAATGTGAATTTTCGTTTACGCATCCCAAAAGGGTGATATGTGTTGATGGTAGCGACTCTCCACTCTTTATTTACTTATTATTTTATTCTTATATCTTTGTACACATAAATTTTAAATTAAGATATATTTATGAATCGTGACAAAAAAGTAAAAGGGTGTTCGTTAGTGGGAGTAAGCGGAGCACTACCACGCCCACTATGCGCCATTAAGCGAAAATGTATCTATAAATAAGCACTAAATTAATATATATGTATGTAAAACTGTATTTGGGGCAGAAGATTGCAGTAGCTAGGGGCACCCTTGGGCCAAACATTTTCAAAAACTGGGGATTGTAAAAAGGTTCAATTTACATATTTTCTACATCACTAAAGCAAAAATAGAAAAATTCGAAGGGCGCRAAGATTACAAGGGCAGTATAAGACTGGATGAAATGTTARAAACTACTAAAAGTGCGAAAAATCAATAACTTTTTATATTCGATATAAAAATTTTCAATCAAAAAATYATCGWTRTCAAAATTAGACAATAGGMGTGGCACTGCCCAYTTTTAKGTTAAATCACATATCTCGAGACCCACCTTACCGCRTTTTAGTGGACTACGGCCACTTCCTACATAGCACAATCTTAAATTCCTTTTGATTCTTAACTATCCAGTACAGAAATCAAGAAGCTGTTGTCATAACACTTTTTACCAACAATGCCTTTGAAGTATAACCAAAAATTTTTGAAAGACAAGTAACTGGATCCAGCTGGACCCAGGTAAGGGAATACTTATAATTGACTTCCTTTAGATCCCATATGCCAAATATAGAGATTTTCGAACTTCCAGTTGACGTTATACCGCATATATCGGCCAACATGAGAGTTATCTCAATGGATATGAGAGAGCATGTTTTACTGATAAGGGTGTATATTTTTTCCGAAAATGGATAAAGTTAATACTTGACCYCGCCGCCAAATAATAAACAGGTATAACAGCCTTTACTCCATAGAAATGGTGATGGAATGTGGGTTAACTTAATGTATCTCAGCGAACATTTCTTTAGTATATAGCATATTTATAGTATATAGTATTGATAAAAAAATAAATAGAATCTGGTCCTAAGTGCGTCCGAACTTAGCGCTTCCTCACTTGTTTATATTTAATATTTGCTCGAATATATCGCATGACACTTAAAAGCTACTGGAGTTGTGCCCAAAAGTATGCTACACTTAAAAATGTGGAGTTGGAGCAAAGCTCAGTAAAAGCAAAGCTCTCAAGATAAAACATCATATACTTGCTAGTTAGTTCATACATACGTAAAAATATATAAGTGTAGATATTAAAATTAATACTTGTATGTATTTATTACTACACGCATTGTATGGGTTTGCTCTTAGCTTTCAAGTTAGCTTAATTTACSACACATTTGACTAATTGTTCTTAATTTATAGTGAATATGAGTATTAATTAAAAAACTTGAAATGCGAAATCCTCACTTATCGTACAAATTTATATAATAGGCAATTTAATTACTTTTTTTTAATATGTACATATATATTCTTCCTTTATTCTTCCATCAAAGACTAGTCATTGTTACAAATGTACTTTTATGGAAAATCTGCACAATGTGTTATCAGTTTCTCTTTAATATTGTTTTATTAGAAGTTATGCTAAGTTAAACCATTTATATGAATGAAATTCATAATCAAGGCTATTTAGCCTTCAGTAGTTGGCAGCTAAACAGGTCGGCATAGCGTATGAGTAACTTAAAGAAAATTTTACAAATGAAGATGCAAATGCATAAGAATTACTTAAAAAATTATAACATTAGAAATAGYTGCCCTCCGGGTGGGCGTATTTATGAAGGCTATTTATAGCACTGTGGTACAAAAGTTCAACGCAGAAAGCAACAGTTCAAACGAGTGCCTTCTAAATATAACTTTAATGAGCGCTTTTAAATTGAAGAAATTCCTTACAATTTATACAAGGCTTGATTCTAGTCAATGATCTCAACTTCTAAATGATAAATAGAATATATATTCTATATTTTACGTCAAGCTCAAGTTTATAAAATGCTTTAAAACAGCAGTCAATCAATGCTGCAGACTCATTTGCCTACAGACCGTCTTAACGCGCGGTTGGTTTTCTAATTATTAACCGGTAAATATTTCTAAATTTTCAACGTTGCTWACAAAATGTGGCAAACTGTCAAACAAGTTTCAAGTTTGTGCAAAATCGCATTAATTTGCGGCTTAGTTGTGGTGAACGGTGTGAATGAGGTTACAAGTGTTGAGTTCTACACACAAAAACGTAAGTGGCAAAGAACAAATATTCTAAAACAAAAAATGTATATATAGATACATGTACATAAATATGAACGTCTTATTATTTTTATATATTCATTCATAAGTAAGTTTTGTTCTTTKTATTATTAAAGCGGCTTTCCTGCCATCGTGTAAAATTAATGAGCCTGGTTTTACAAAATGTTCTACAAATACAGTACAAAAACTGATTGAACAACTGGTAATAGGTGAGTTYTGGTGAGAGTTAGTAAATTTTTTCGAAACCATAGTTTTTCTCTCTTTCAGGAATACCGGAGGTTGTGGAGGAGTTCGGTCCATTCGATCCCATGCGCGTGCATGATATATATTTCAAACAAGACAGCAATGATGTAGCCAGAGTGCGCGCCAATTTAAGTGACGTCATAGTGAAAGGCTTCTCGAAGACAATYATTAAGGAAAGCAGGTACGTTGTAACCATATTCAAATTTACAGAGCGAAAATTGTTAGGTTGGATGATATATTCTCATAGTAGTCGCCTTTTCTTATCCATTTCTTATTCAGACTTAACACAGATTCCTTTAAGTAAAGCTTGAAACATGTGTTTGAGAGCCAATTTTTTTTTTTACACATTCGGGGAGTGGTTAATGGTTAAAATGTGATTTTTGGACAGTGATCGGTCACAAGCGTCGATCGATGAGAGCAATTTTCGCACACACCGCACACACACCTTTCACAAGCTCAAATGTTCTGATAAATGCGATAAATCGATGTTTTGGAGATGTTCAATTCCATTTCCATGAATTTTAACGATTATTTACGCTGATTTTTGATGAATTCGCGCACAGTTTCCATAGAATTTCCGGTGATCACGGACTTTGATTGGCCCACATGTTGATCGTCATTTATGTGCTCACGCAGAGATAGGCAATCATCGCCATAAACTCGCTTCATCAATTGAAATTTCGGTAAAAGTTTTACCAATTTTGAAGCAAAGTTTAATGTTGGCTCTTTGTTCGAAGCTCATTTTCGCACCGTTAACACTTAAAAAGCAACAACTTCGCTTCCAAAAGATGAAATGTCATGAAACTCTCACTGGACAATCGATAAAAATAGCCGAATAGCAAAAATTTGTATTTTTTATTAATTACCTAGGAGGTATTAAGAATTATTAGTTAAGGATCCTAAGTACCAAGCTTTGCAGTTTATAAAACGTAATCTAAAAAAATTTTTATGAATAAAAAGTTTTTAAACTTCATATTCGTTATTATTTACATCTAAAAATGTACTTACAAGAGCTCAACAAATTTTTCTCTTTTTAGAGTCAGCAAGAAGGACTACAGTTGGATTACGAAAATTTTTCTGCCGAAAATGCGAATGGACGCCAATTATAAAATGGAAGGACGAATTTTGTTAATACCGTTAAGAGGTTCTGGTAAAATGTTCATCGAAATTGGTATGTGGATGTTTGATGTTGCCGCTTATTTCTGAAATTCAATTTGTGAAAAAGTAGAAGCTTAATACCGTACAATACCACTATTCTGTAGTATCCTAAAGTTATCTTAATATACTACTACGAGTAGAACGTAGTAAGGTTTCAAAGTCTATATCGTCTCCCTCTAAATAATACGTCGCTTTCCTCTAAATAATCATCCCTGGCCACAAYACACTTGTTCCAATATTTTTTAATGTCTTTAATTGACTCAAAACTGTTTTCCCGGAGCTGTTGTCAGGCGAATATGGTGGTTGAAAAACTCAATACAAATAATAGAGTATGCGACGTGGTACAAAAATAACGTCCGACCCATARTTATGACCCCTTTTTATACTCTTGCAACCAGTTGCTACAAAGTATTAAAGTTTTGTGCACCTGACGATTGAACTTTGATCATATAAAACTAATCGAATTAAATATAGGGTTATACAAGGTGCGTTCTAAAGTAAACACGACTTTTTGAATCTAGCRCCCCTGGTGGCACACTCTATACTGGTGCGTTAGAATTTTATATCTTTATCGATTGTCCAGTGAGAATTTCATGACATTTCATTGATTTGAAATGAAGTTATTCCGTTTTAAGTGTCAATGTGTTTGTGTTATCGGTGCGAAAATGAGCTTCGAACAAAAAGCCAATTTTAAAATTGGTAAACCCTTTACTGAAACATCAAAAATCAGCCTAAATCTTCATTGAAATTCATGCAAAATGCTAAATTGAAGCAGAAGGAGACTATTTTGAATAAAATAAATTGATTTTGCGGAAAAATGCATTTGTTTTATYTTTTTTTAAGTCCTGTTTACTTTGGAATCCACCTTGTATATGTACATATATATAAATGATCAGGATGGCGAGAAAAGGCGAAATGTTCGTGCGTTCGACCGTCCATGCAAGCTGTAACTTGAGTAAAAATTGAGATATATTCATGAAACTTGATGCGCAGATTYCTTGATACAAAAAAAAATTGGGAGTTCGTAGATGGGCGTACGGGAATATGCTGGGCTTTRCCATGCCCCTAAAACACCATCAACCGATAACGTATAAAGTTCAATAACTAAGCACTAAACTAAAATTTTTTTAAAAAGTGGCACCGCCCTCTAAGAAGTTTAATATACATATCTCAATCAAATTCGGATAACCCCGCCATCTGTCCATATAAAAGCAACTGCTAAAGGCAATAAATTATTAACTAACTAACTGTGATTAAAWTGGATGATGGGCATGGCACCGCTTACTTTTAGGTGAAAGCAGATACCTCGTGACCTGTCCCTCCTCTGGCATTTTTGAGTTACAGGGTGACAATAGAAATCAGAATACAGCCACGCCTACTTCCCATATAACACAATTTAAAATTTCATTTAATGCAATAATCAATTTAATTATCAGGATAAAGCTTTGCATGAATAATGCCTTTGAGGTGTGCCACCTTGCCTAAATCGAAGCAAAACTTCTCAACCCCTAGGAACCGAATATATAGTATRTCTTATGATGACTTTTTACCGAAAATATCGATCAATTTATGAGATATAGAATTAAAATCCAGAAAGAATCGGCATGGGTTACAAATGAGTTGAATTGCGCCTATACTTCCCTTAGTCCCCATATACCTATGTAATATAAAGATTTTTGAGTTTTCGCTATCTTAATACATTTTCGAGGGTGTGTTTTCTTATTGTGTACATATTTATGCTTACAATGAATGAAATCTGGTGAAAACTCGTCTTAGACTCCATAAGTTTTACCACCGCCAAGATGCTACTGAAAATTATGTCACACCAACATTCAAAAGTGTATGGTAAAACCATTAATATCCTTGTACTCGTATTGAAATAACTTTAGTGATGAAAATTAGATATTTGAGTGAGGTATAAGCTGTGTATTTCAATAAGCGGTCAACCAACTTTTCCACTAACATTACACCGACATTAAACCAATAAYATATTTGGAGATAAAGAGACCTTCGTAAAATGACCTTATAGAAAAATTAAGAAAAAAGCAAGAAAGTGTTCTTCGCATTGAAGAAAGTTGACTGTTTTGAGTTTTCCTCAAGTAACTCAAACAGTTTGAAAGAAAATATATGTTTATACTTGTTTACTGTATTTGCATTTTCCGTAATTAAATTAATTTCCTAATTATATATACATATATACATATTTTTCAATATACACACTCACAGAAAACCTCGATATCAAACTTTATACGAAGACGCGGCTTTATGAAAAGGGAGGTTTCACCTTTGACAATGTCACTGCAGTTCGTGTGGACTTGAATATGACACGCGTGCGCACCAATTTCGAAAATATATTTAATGGACAAAGCAAAGAAGTGGAACGCAGCACAAATGAATTCTTCAATGAAAAYTGGCGCGATTTCTACGAAGCACTCAAACCGATCATCAGCGAAACTGTGGAGACCATACTCTACGACGTAATGCATAAAGTATTCGAATTGATACCAGCGAACTTCTTTGTTGAAGACATACCCACCTCTGAGCAATTGTATGGAACGAAGAATAACTCAACAAATAAATAATTATTRTGGAAATACTTAATAAATGAAATAAATATTTAAACTGGTTGTGTGAACTGTAAAGTGTAGTATATAATATAAARAGACTAACTATATGTATAGAGCATGTAGAAATTAGTTATCAAAGAATAAGTAATGAATAGTGACTTGAGATAGATCGCCATATTTTTTCTTTGCAAATGAAAATAAAAAAGTTAAATGATAATATGAAAACGAAACTTAACTGAGAAGACTATGTTCGCCGAATATCTTTTTTATCTTATTTATCTTTCCATTCTGCTATTCATATTGAGCTAGTATCTTCAAATCAAAATTCTTTAACTTCGGTTATACCAAATCCTTCACAAATAAAAAAGAAATATATTTTATGCGTTCATATTGTATAGCAACTATATGATACAGTGTTTTCAGATATTAAAATTTAGATATCTCAAAACCTGAGCGACTCGTTCGAATACATACTGACGGATGGATGGACTTGACTAAATCGAAACAACTTGTCACGTTGAAAATAATTATAAATTTTTATAGGATTTCCGACGTTTCCTTCTGGGTGTCACAAACTTCGTTGCGAAGTTAATCCAGCCGGGGGTATAATAAAACTAAGTGGCGGGCTATTGGTTAATGATTTTATTCACCTAACAGTTGTTCCTAACACCAAAAATTATTAATTTTTAGTGCAAACGATAACTCGAGTAAAAAGTGMGATATCTTGATAAAACTTGGTCCGTACATTACTTAACTTGGTAGTCCAGATGGGTGATTCCAGGCCATTGCCGCACACACAAAATTCCATTAAGAGAATAACTAGCAAGTACGGTAGGTTACGTTTGGTTATATTAACTAACTGTGGCGTCATACATAGACATACGGATCCTTTGTAAAGGCGCATGAAAATTCAGTTTAATACGAGATAATGCTTCCGTCATACAGTCCTATGGCTAAGCCGAAAACCGTTCTGCGTTATTTTACAGACCTTGTGGGTAAGAGCATGCATATTTTTCATCCAGTTATCTTACGGTATTCCATCTCACCCTGATCAGCCCGTGAACTCTTTCCGAAATGTCATTCGGACGTCAAGTGGATATTAAGTGAATATATAGTTTGGTGGACCACATAGAAGTACATATATTACACATGATTATGACTTCTAGTGATATAGGTTGAATATATTGCATAGTATATGGGTTCAATTATGCGATAATATAATAATAATATCCGTCCACACTTATTAAATAATCACTTGAAACTGCTGTAGAGACACCGTGTATTTTCTTTCATGTAGTTCCACGTTGCAATGTAATATATTCCATACACATGAAACTTCATTCAAAACTTACTTTTTCATAAGCCAGCAGTCGGTCGTCATTGACATTAATAGTAAACGAAGTTACTCGCACGCTTTGATTTGTTTGTAGTAAGAAATGTGGTTCTGGTTTCCACGATCTTCACTTTGTTGTTATGGCGGTGCGAATGTTGTTTGCAAGGAGGGGGACCACGGATGCAAAATACCATGTAGCCATGACCATAACCAAGTTAGTGTGTAATTAAGTACAAGTTATTGACGTCAGCAATGAGAATATTATCACGGCAATAGCAATTCAATTAATAGCTAATAAGTTATAATTGAATGCGAATAATATAGTTGAGTTACCAAAATTGAAGCATATCTTTTAATTATAATATTATGTAACTGAATAAGTAGAGCAAATACACACTGAGGTATATTATTGAAATTGTTTCTGACTTGACTTACAACGTCACTCAGATAATGAAATAATAATCCTATACCGTTTTCGCGATGCTTTGATTTTTGCGGCGTTTTCCCTCAAAAATATTTGAGGAATCTGAGCAAAATGTTGGATTTTTTGCCGTTTGAAGACCTGAAAATTGACATGAATTCCTAATATGTAGGAAAACATACCTTACCCCTGTCACTTTTCCGCAAATAAGAATATCCATATTCGGGTTGACTTTCTGCAATTAAATTAGACCAACATACAAGTATGTCTTGTATATCGGTAAATACATATGTGTGAGATCTCCATAAACTTAGCTTTGTGTGGTTTCGAACAAATACTTAAAATGGATGACATCCCTTTTCACCTACCTTTTGCCTGTATATTAAAGAAGAGGTTCATTTTATTCCAAGAAAAAATTGTGAACGGTGTACACCATATAAAAATATTATAGTAGTCGTCTGTGTGGTTGTGATAACGATTTTGTCTTTTTATTTTTAAACCGCGTTAAAGTTGCCTAATTACATTTATACGCCTAATTTTGGAACCTTCCCGTTTATAGTATCTAGCTACCTAACTATCTACATATTCTTTGCTCTTTATACAATGCTTTATAAAAAGTGTTACAGAGATCGGATTTAGTTCAAATATGCGCCGTTTCGTTCGATAATATGTTTTCATCCAGACGGCAATTTCATAATACCCCTCTCCTAGAAGAAGGAGGAGGGCTCCTTATTTGCGAAGAACTCGGACAGCCGCTTTTCACAAGCCTCTTTTGAGTTCAACTTGACACCAACAAGGGCGTTCGCCATGGACAGGAACAAGTATTAACCATATATGGTGGATGCGATGAAACCTCCCATCCGAGCTCYCGTAGCTTCTGACGAGTCACTAACAAAGTATGTGGTCTGGCGTTGTCCTGGTGGAACACTACACCGTTCCTGTTAGCCAATTCCGAATGCTTCTGGTCGATCGCCGGCTTCAAGCGGTCCAGTTGTTCACAGTATATAGTAAAACTAAGCGAATGACAATATGGGAGCAGCTCATAGTGGATAACTCCCATCCAATCCCACCAAACACACAGCAAAAGCTTCCTGGCCGTCAATGCTTGGCCAATGTTTGGTACGATTCAGTTCCCTTCGACCACGACCGTTTTTGCTTGATATTGTCATATGTGAWCTATTTTTCGTCGCTAGTCACCATCCGCTGATTCGATCCAGAAGGTTTTTTGCATCAAATCATGCGGCACGGAAAGCCAAGCTTTTTTGTGTATCCAGCCTTCTGCAGATGGTTTAAAATGGTTTGGTGACTAACTCCCATTTTCTTCGCGATGTCACGAGATACCACATGCCGGTCTTACTCGATGTTTTCCATGATTCGGTCGATATTCGTCGTTACAGGTCTTTCGCTGGCTGGCATGGTGTCGTTTCAGAGCGGATGACTTCCTCCGCAGTTCGAAGTGATAGAGTACAATCCCCAAAAAAAACCATTAATCTCACGGAACGTTTCTCTATATCCAAACTAATCATGCATAGCGTCGTTTTGTAGGTTATGTCAAAGCTTTTCAAAGATGTATCCCAGATAAGAGCTCTGTAGCGCTTTGTGATATCAGACGATCTTGGCGGCCAATCAACCGGCTCTAAACATGAAATTATCTGCAACAAAGTTTGGCTCGAAAACCTCGAATCTTCTTGGAACTTCTCAAGAGCCCATAGAGCGAAGCAATGTCGGTTAGGAAGTTCAAGCGGCTTCAGTTTCCGTACAACCGTAACTGTATTTTGCATGCCTTCAATTTACGTCACTCCGAGTTGCTCCGAACTGCGCCGAATCGACTCTTCACGGGTTTCGTGTACACACTCAGTTATAGCTACTATATTTTCTTCACTGCGTGCTGTACTTGGTCTGTTCGTTCGAATTTTATCTAATAATGAATRCTGGGTCTCAAGATGGGTGAATAGTAGTCCGATTATGTTAACCATGAGTGAAGCACGCGAAACACAGAACAAAACGTGAACTTTCGTAATAAAGTTGAACGACTTGTAAACGTTGTTCTGGTGTGTATCTCCATGACGATATGCCAAACAATACTGAACAAGAATCACATGACAGTTTGACACGACTCACGCATGATCTGCCAAAAAAGCTATTAAAAAAAATACCTCTACTTGGATATACTAGGGTTGAATAGAATAAATAATTTCGTTATCCCCATATACCTAATAGAAAGATCTTCGAACTTACAGTTCAGTTTATACCGCGTATGTGTACAAAAATCTTGTAACATCTTGCCCTAGACCTCATACTTATATACAATATTTGGGGTCATTAGGGTAATCTGCCCTGTTTTTTTGACATCATTTTTCATAAAAATTTGTATTCTACAATAAAACTTTTTTCATATATCAGGAGTGATATCGTGGAGGGTATATAAAAATTTGTTTGGAATCTTTTGATGAAATCTGTCGGAGAAATGTCTGGGTGAATTTGACGCGTTTTTCACGGCAGACACGATTTCTCAGGTTTGGATCATCTGAAACACAAAAACCCAAATTATTCTTAAAAAGTACGTGAATGGTTATCGTCCCTACTAGAATCATATCAAAAATGTTGATAAATAAAAAAGTACTTAACGTTTTTTTTTTTTATTTTTCGCCAAGTTTTTTACATAAATTTTGTCATAACATTTTTAATAAATTATAAAATCTGGTAGGGACGACAGCCAGGCGTTTGTGAACATTTAAAAAAAAWTWARSMAAWYSGKYMARKTKGKYSGGYGGAATCATGTCAGCCRATTTAAAAAAGTGTGTTTTGATAAAAACGCGTTTAAATGACCCTTTAACCTTTGMAAGTTGCAAAAGTATGAAATGTTGRGTTACACCCGAACMTAGCTCTCCCTATCTCGTTATTATTGTAAGTTAAAAACTCAAAAAAAAAAAAGTGCATTGATGCAGTTTGTAGGAAAATAACTTAATTATTACGTTTGTATTTTGTGTTTCTAATACATTTTTAGCTGAACTATCATAAAATAATATAAAACTCGTCAATTATTTCAATGTAAAAGAACGAAAAAGTATTTATTTAATTAAACTAATGCAAATAAGCTGTTAAAGCAAAATATCTGTCACAAAAAAAATCTTTAATGACTCATTCAAATTCAGTGCAAGTAATAAAACAATTGTAATAAATTACAAAAATCGTGTTTTGTTATCTGTAAAATATATCAAATTTAATTATTTATGAAAAAAATTGTTTTTATCTAAAGCAATTAATTTCATAAAAGCGATTAAAGCCAACTTTTACACCC